ATGAATCACCTCTTGTGGGGGACAAGTAAATCAGTTAAGCCAAAAGAAGTTATGGGATAGGTGGATGCATGACTAAAGTCACCAACAATGATGTGGACATTATCGTCTATGAGGGGAACGAAAGACGGAATAAATGCATCAAAGAAAGATGAAAAGTGAGACTGGGAACAAAAGGGGGCTATGTATAAGTTGATAATGATTGTACTTCTGTATCACGAAAATCTAGGGAAACATTGAACAGCTAAGCAGTCGGTGCCATCGGCGGAATAATCAAAAAGAATTTCACACTTGCCGCTCCAGGTTGAGTTGACGTACGTGATCACTCCACCTCTTGTTTTCTTCTTGCAGTGCTTCCTATCCTTACGGAAGCATTTAAAACCATTGATTCCAATTAGTGAGTCCTCGACATTATGGTCAAGCCAGGAGTCTTGGATACAAACAACACACGTGGTACGGTGGATGCATGAATCAAGGGTGCACGTTAGATCCGTTATCTTTGCGAAGAGCGACCGGATGTTCGAGCTGACCAATGAGGGGACAATCATTTTCGATGGTGGTGTGCGACTAAGCGTTGCTTACCAGCCACCGCGCTTGCGTTTCTTCATTTTAGTAGGAATGCGAAAATGAGCTGACGAGGACACGAAAGGCACAGTATTGAGACGGTCATGTTTGAAACTTATTAACTAAAACCGCGAATAAACCTTTCGAGTGGTCATTATGGGGTATTCTCGAAAACAATTAATTCCGAGAGGGAGAAAATGTAGCGCATCCAATCGAAGGGCGCACCAAATTCATTTTTACATTTGTATATTCAATAAACAGAAAAAGGAAGTAAAAAGACGTTCATTTATTTTTTACTACGCTCACCCAGTAATGGGAAAACAGTGCAGTAAAAGTCAGCTGGTGAGGCATTTCACGCCTGCCTTTCCACTGACTGGCACATGTGACTGTCCGCCCTAGCCCACACATCCCAGAAACCAAATGAGCCGCTGCAACCTGCCATCCCTTCCTAAGTATATATAGTCAAGCAATGGACTCACACATCTTTCACAAGTCTTGAGGTTATCTCATTCACGGGGGTTAGTTCACGAACGTTATCGATTGGCTTCTTTGAGAGTATCACGTCACTACGCCTCATAGTCACAATGCGAATGCGACTTAATACCACTTAGATATGCACAATCGTCGGGCTAACGTATTCATATTCCCGTCAGTTTACGTGGCCGCTGATTCAGATGCTCCTTATGGCACTACACAAGAGACGATCCATGTGGTAATAAGACATCGGGGACAGCTGTAACCAAGAAGTACGTTTTAGCTGAGTACGACCTACACTGGGCACGTAAAGTAATCGAATTAAATGAATAAGCTCACGGCAAAAATACAGAAAAATCATTGATGAATCGCGTGAAAGAATTTTCCAAGGCCCACACAGGAGACCATTTGAACCTTATGTCTCGTCATCCTGGAAAGAGTTAAACGTAGAATGAGTATGAGCAAACCGCAAACATTTCGACAGGTCACTTGAGATAATATGCACATCCGTGGGAAGCGACTGCCACTCGACGTTATAAGCCCGATTTATGTAAACAGACCGAATTTGTGGCTAGCCCTGGTAGGTATCACTGTCCTCTCTCTCTCTCGTCTCCCCCTAGCCTGCAGTGATGCAGTGCCCCTATGCCCAATTCGGTTCATATTAATAACCTTTGGCCTTCGTATTGATTGATTTCTCTTCCCCCTGTGTGTTCGCCGGTCCCAAAACCTGTCACTCTTTTAATCAAACGTGATCTGAATCTATATACACAGCTGATGAGATTACCACAAAATAGTTGGATTCAGCACATCCTGTGATCATGATGCTTCATTTTTGTTCTACGATAAGTTTGCATCAGAATCCATACCAGGCTCAAATGAACGGTAAAGTATTAAACAAATTTCTAAATCGACGCGGTCTGAAAACAGCAACCGAATAACTGAATAATGAAGTTCGACAATGCAATGAGCAATTAAAGCAACAGTGGCAGTTAGGTGTGCTAACTAATATCTTCCAGCTACCTAAAGCACTTGGTATGTGTGACGGAAAGGGTGAAAAAAAGTTTGACAATGAAATGGAAATCGGATTCAGAGCACTCCGCGAGGTCAAACCGTCAAAGAACTTTCGTCCAATTTCGACCGCTTTGTATACTGTACTTCACACCTATCATTTTACTTTCCTGCTAAAAATTATTCAGGACTGGGAACCTAGATTTGTCTGAACGTAGTAGTAATTGCTTTAAATTAAAACAAGAAAACTTCCTCTTGTGGTTCTTTGTATTCACGTGAGAAATTGTGATGTGACTTGTGATAGTTTGTCAAGTCATTCACCAGGGTCAGAACTTTAGGTGCGGTGGGCCATGAATGTACCACAAATGAGTAGTCATTTTCCCTTAGTTCAAGAGTTCTACGTAAAAACAGTGGCAACCAAAGAATCACCAGAGATTACCGAACCATCCCTATAAGTTAGGAAAAGATCGGCAGAGGCTGGTAAACGACGGGGAAATAAGGTGTACGCGGAAAACATCGACAGTGACGGAACAGTCATGCGTAAACGGATAAAGATGCTCGGGGATACAGTGTGAAGAAAATTCACCATCAACGTAACAACCACAAATTGGACAGCAGCAAAAGACAGTTTCCCCGAGTGTGATGCTCGGGTTTTCTTCTGCACACATGTCCCTATGAGTATGGTGTATGAAAGTTGATTCGAATTGATGCTTAACCGGTACCGCTATTTGGCACGGAATAAATGCGTGGGACTGTCCGTAGACCCCGATGTTTTCCTTATTTCTAATCATCCAACCCTATAACCATCATCCTCTGTACGATACCTGGTATTTTAAGTATGTCCCAAAAATAATAGCAAAGAAGATTCGGCTTAGCAGAGCTCGTGTTGATGATGATATCCGCGACCTCCTCCTCCGCAGTGTGTCCCAACATGGGACATAGGACATAGGACAAGCATCGAATTCAAAAGTGGACAGTGGAGATTCATTATAGAGGAGAGGGATCAGAACACACAAAACACGAATGACAATCAGGGAACACCCACAGATGATGCTGTGCGTCATCCTTTTACGTGTGTGTATACCACGTTGTGCCCGCTTTAGCCCAACGCACACACAAACGCGCGCACACAACAGCATACTTGTATACAGAAAACCAGAGTGTGATACGTTCCGGTATTACACAAAAATGTTGCATCAGTATGTAGGCGTGAATTATACAAGCAAGAACTCGATCTCATATTTGGCAGATTCAACCAAACAACTATCATTCCAAAAAAATGGCAGAAAACTGCATGCCCATTCTGATTTAATTAGTTCGACAATTTTTATAGAAAATGAAAAAAAGGATTAGGTGGAGAGGGTTCGTGTGCCAGTTTAAACGATGCTCTGGGTGTATGCAGGTGTGCACACGCGCCCGCTCGTTCGCGTTTGTACATACATCGTTTGGGGCAATGTTCACCGAATTGTGAACTCGTGAGCGAATAAAAGTTCGAAGTGAAAGCAGCCAGATCTACGTAAAGTGTTGCTTTATGTCTTTGAGTCGTTTAGAAACATTAGAGCCCATTTCAAACGATTGCATCACACAGAATAAATCTTCTTTTCCTTTCATGTTTCGGTTGTCGAAAGGTGTTATTGACGATACGCAACACTGTTCCATGTTTTGAGGACTGGAACACCCGTAAGCTGGAGCAGTTTCAGGGACAGTTGAAGAGAGAGAGAGAGGAAGAGAAAACATTACCTATTTCAAGGACAGTGACAGCATTTGTTTGACCTTCAGCTCACACAACCGAGTCGATAACTGTAGACTAGTTGTTTGTGTTACGCTATCCACCAGATGCAACTAACAATTCGCCTCACCCGAATAGCACAAACCAATCGAAATTCAAACAGTGTACCTTTTAGTTCCCAAAATGAACAGATTCATATGACTGAGCCGTCCTTACCCGTTCGTTCCTCCAGACTCGGGAGAACCACAACCTCAATGTTCTCCAAGGAAACTGTGAGAAGAAAAATAAGTGTGTGACTGAAAACACGTGTCATTGTTATTGCATTTCACATTGACCGAATACAGTCAGACGGTTAGATTATCCCTAATTCTCATTGTTCTTGCTTCTACCTGAATACAACTACTTCTCTGAAGTCATTTTGTATTCGTTTTTCTAATGAGTGATTCTACGTAAAACTTCAGAAAAACCACCATAATGTTCAACAGAAAATGAACGTCATATCTAGAATAACTCTAATTGATTTATAGAGGATTGGAGCAGAGCAAGAAACACAGTAGGAGACCAGAAGTGTTCTGCCGTTTAAAAATGTAAGATTTGAAAATCGCTTTGTAGGTGGCGGGATACTGGCACCAAATAGTCGGTGAAAAACAGTAAACCGGCAAAACATGAACTGAATGATCTGCAAATCGATCAGTCCAAAACACAAGAGAATGTAAAACCGACCTCGTGCTAGTAACCATCCATAAGTAATCTGTTTTGAGGGGAAAATCTGCCACTTCAGACAGTTAAAATTTGATGTGCCACTATCACCATGCTCTCAATGTACCGATAAAAGTGGGCACACATTTTTGAGTGACACGAATCAGGATAATGCGATTGGAAAGAAACATGGATAATGTTGTGTACCGTTGACGCCTAGTTCACAACGGTCAGGTGAAGTTATTATGATCAAGATGTATCTAGTCGCCAGCAACAGGAACAATAGAGTAGGGTGGTGAACAATTCCTCTTTGATCAGTGAATGGGCAACTGTTAGCTGATCCTTCGTTTGCCGTGTCCGTTAGGTTAAAGTCAAATTTTTATGGGAATTACATAGAAGCTCATGCTTCTCTTATCCTCATACACTTGAATCGTTTGAATCGTTTCTCAGTGAAAAAAATGATAAAGTATCACAAAGTTCCGGGTAGGAGATAACCGTTTGTGTAGTGTTCAACGAATTTGTGTTATCTTTAGTTATGTAGGGATGCGAGGTGTGCCAGAGTTTCATCAGTTCTCCGCTTGAAAGATTTTAATGGTTGGTGCACAAACCACGTGGGATGGAAGGGTGTTCCAAGCACTGCATATTCTGACTGGAAACGATTGATGCTGGTATTCCAGTTGACACTTTGGAATCAGTAACTTGAAACAATGTCCCCTAAGTTGTATGTTGTTCGACAATGTGAGCAGCGGCCGACAAGGATGGTTTGGGTATGCTAACAGCATACGACCAGGGAACCATACAACATGGAAAGTAAATAGTCCTTGCTTCAGATCAATTTACACTGATTATTGAGAATAAATTAATCGCACAAATAAAAGCAAGTAACTAAAAGGTAGTTTTCGAAAAGTGATTAATGATCCCAGTATTGTACATTTTGCACCAGCTGCCTCGTATTGGACTGAAACTGCGAAGTAGCACTGTTTTGCTCAGTAGAAGCACACAGCCGTTCAGATATCCTGCCAGATCGCAGCCTTGTGGTTGTGGCTAAAATCCGCAAGCGATTTCTTTCCTATCGAAAAATGAACATGTGACCAATTGATAGCTGAAGAATACATTCATCGGCAAACAGAACGGCTCGTATGGTTTGGGATCAGAGGAGAAAGAAGAAGAAGATTGAACCGATTCAAAAACAGTCCACAGACCCTCTTGCGCAACACACACACACAACGAGTTGGACTGACCTGCAAATCTTGATTAACTGGTTCAATTCCGGACAGGAACAGTCGTACAGTTCGGCACACGATTTCTGGCTCTCGTTCATCAGATGGGCTAGTTTCTCGGACAGTCTTTTGGTCCCATCGGTATCGCCGGCTGAGTGGGCTTGACAACACAGATCGTAGAATGCCAGGACTCTTTCCGCTTCGGCGTACACATGTTCCGCACGATCACGCAGATGAAACTCCATCACTGGTGGAAATAAAAGGAGTTATTGGTATTGACAGTGTTGTTGTGAGATACTAATCACATTTGTGAGTGGTAGGCAACATAGCTGTTGATTTATTTTAACGATCACTGAGGGTAAATCACTGTATCTCAAAGAATAACTATCTATTGCTGCATTAATTACCCGTTGTGTGGTCAGAAACTGCGATGGTATGTTTCTGATGAGATTTCTGTGTTATGTGTGCCAAATTACTGATGTCCCATCTGTAATCTTGGATAAACAGCTATCCTCGAGCACAGCCTTTTGAATTTATAACATTAGTAGAGGCAGTGGTAGTCGGATGACAAACACAAGCACATAGAAAGAGGAATAAAAAAGAGCCTACACTCAGCTGAAATTGAAGAAATTTTATATCTAATTTTTCAGACCCGCGTATGTCACCTCTAGGTTCGTTTTTGTTTAACATCACCATACGTGAAAAGACCATCCTAATTAGTGATTATATTGATGGATTGATTGATCGATCGATCGAGGATTGTTCGATGAGCGCGTAGCATTCCGAACACACACACAGAGGGAGAGAGAGGGAGTGACAGTTCAAGCGAGCGAGAGAATAAAAATATCAGCTCGAGGCGGCATTCAAAGAGCGGTGAATAAACATCCGACAGAACGCACGACAGACTGCATCGTTTGTCCAACAGATCTATGGACAAACGGAAGACGGATAAATGTACAGACACTCGGAGTGGATCCCTGTGTGTGTTTGCTAACCTGTTGCACTGAGCTCCGCTTTCGAGTCGCCTGCTAATTGCCCTGTAAAGTTTCTAAGCTTATGAGTTGCAGACTAGGTGTGTCCCCATATCCACGCGAGCGCATGAAACAGCTCCATTTAGTGAAGCTCACCAGGTAAATATTCAATTAAAATGTACTGTGTATGGACCGCAACTTTTCCAGTGTCATTTTTTGTGCTTCCGTAGTACGATCAAGGAAAAATAGCTTTACGTGATTACTGTAGGGCGAGGAGCCGTTGGCTTATGAACCGGATTACAACGCGATGCACATCATTGTACTAATCTCGGTGGAGTATAGTCATAACGATTGAATTTCACGAATCAATAATAATAACATTAAGCTCTACACTCTACTGTCTGACTAAGGTGTGTGTGTGTGTGTGTGTGTGTGTGTGTGTGTGTGTGTGTGATCTTCATAGTACGAATGGATTAGTAGTCCATTCAAGACTCTACCACTGGCACTCAGCTTTGGTGGTAAGCACCCCGGTTAAGACCTTAATCGGTTGGCTTCAAGGATTCGGTAAGCACCTTATACAACTGACTGGTAGGCACAGGTCGCTGTAGAGTTCATCGCTTCAGCCTGAATTCATTTAAGCTTGCAGAATAAGGTAGTCGGTTCCGGTGAATCAGTATGTCCAACTGATTCAGTACTGATACTAGTATTAAATCAAATTGATTCACTGCATCAATTCAGAACATATCATGGAAGTGACCCAAAACACTGCTAACTATACACCCCCGTCAAGAATCACCCGATGCAGCAACGGCCAATAGAGTTGAATGAGTGCCAAATGAAAGATCGGCACGTTCGGATCCAGTACCTTAGCACCATAATGTAAGCGGAACTGGGGCACAATGACCAATAAGTTAAACAGATGTTGAAGAATTGTCAATATCTCATACCACTGCGTAATACATACATTAGCAGGCGTGCGGTTTCCCGGTTAACGAACAAATGCTTTAGGTCGCCTTCCTGGCCACAATAAACCATAAACGAAGCCGGTTTAGAACTTCATACCAGTTGACTTGCCATAAGATCAAATCAGATGAGTCCTGTTCAGAGTAAAATCCCGATAGTACTATCCGCCTTGCTCCCTGACTTCAGAATGAACTGCTTGTGGAGGAGTAGAGCAAAACAGGATTGTTTGAAAACCCGCTACGCTCATGTACGCGATTCGGGTGTCGTGTGATAACGCCTCGCGTTTACGCAACTCTAATAAGCAGTTAAGAAAAAAGGGAGGAATCCAACACAGTCACGAGAATCAGATGTTTGATAGAGGAAATGACCGAATTAAATATCCCCTCAAACATGGAGTAAAGTGAATGAAACTTAAAAAAACAGTAGAATAGGCATGTTACGAAGCCGAGTGATAGCGAAGCTGTCTATTAATCATGAATCTGTGAGCGAACAATTGTTTTCGGATATTCCTAGTCATGCTCTTACGTATCATATAGTGGAAAAATTCTTACATAGTGATAGCGATTGGCTCAATTTAAGGTCATTAATCAGAGGCAGAAGGAAATGGAAGTGTATAGGTGTGTGTGTGTGCGTGTGTGTGTGTATGTGTGTAGGAAAGTTTAACATGTTAGTTGATGTGACCTTTCTCCACTTGGGTCAAGTGACATCTTGGTTTTCGCACACGGTCACATCAACTAACATGTAAAAATTTCCTATACACACACACTCTCATTACTCTCTGCCTCCGAATTTTGACCTTAAATTGAGTCAATGGCCATCATGTAAGATTTTTCCACTATATGATTTATAAGAACATGACTAGGAATACAAATGCGATGGAAATGTTTGTGATAACCAATAAAGAGCACTGGACAGCTGTTTCTTCCTGTTTGGGACTCGTCATCAGTGCGTACTTTTGTGTCTCTGTCAGGAATCGAACCGCGATCAGTCGGGTCGGGACTTCAAACCCT